CCCCCCCCCCCCCCCCCCCCCCCCCCCCCCCCCCCCCCCCCCCCCCCCCCCCCCCCCCCCCCCCCCCCCCCCCCCCCCCCCCCCCCCCGGGACTTTTGACAAGTACTGTATTTCTTATTAGACGAGATGCTTGACAGTGCTTCGCCTTGAATACTACACTTTTACAAACGTGTTAGCAACTCTCTATAAAATGTTATAAAATAAATTCAAATGTCAGGCAAGGTTTAAACAACTGCTATTACCAAAGGTGTATCTAAGTATTAAAGTATTTTTTGATTGTCATGTCTACTAGTAAAAAATCAAGACATACACAAAAATAGAGTTATTGAAATAATATACTATATAAATACAGCTGTCTATTTCATGACCGCATAAAAAGAAATATTTGTATATATAGTTTATCTATCCTTAGTTAGAAACGAGTGTTAGAGTCTCACTGCTCACAGAAAACAATATGTAGAGAATGATTTGACGATGAAATAAAGCGCTGTATATACAAAAATTAGGCCGTGCTAACTTTAACTTGAACCAAGTTCGGATATACAAAAAAAGGAACTTTTGTGTACGCTGTCGTTCGTGATTGACAAAGTTCTATCGATTGTTTAATGTACAGAAAGAAATGAGCGGCGAAAATAAAAGTTATGTATCCTGTGACACTTTATAAAAAACGATCAGATTTAATCAATCTTAATGATTCTCAGTATCTTAATTAATAGAGTAGAGCTGATTTGCACAAAGAAAACAAAGTTTGAAAGGAGAGCAAAAATAAATTTCTAGAAAAAACTGGTATTTCTGCTCAAGGTAAAAGCTTCTTCTCAATATAGATAAACCTCTCTAACATTTCTTGAGGGAAAAGTAAAATAAAATAACATACTTGACAGAGCATAACAAAATAAACGTCATATAAATATGAAACATTATGGTCATGCTCATCGTTAGGTTCATATGATGTCTTAAAAGAAAAAAGAAACAAACTGTTTGTTTTGTGTTTGATATTGGCGGGGGAAAAGCAGAGAAAAGATCCCGTTCAAGGTCACCCAACACCCTTCGAGGTGTTGTAAGACAGTGATGACTCCCTGGTAGAAAAATATAGAAATCTTTCTCTGCCACAAACACGACATCTTATTCGTTTCCGCAGTAACTAACTCCGTCGTTGCTGTTTCATCTTTTATTCCTCTTTTATTCTGAATGCTTTTTTCCTTCCCTTTCTTAACGGTAGGTTTTGTTGCAAAAGGAGTTATGGCTCTTTTTTCCTTCGAAAATATGGTTTACTCTCAGTTCGTCCCAAATTGACTGCTCAATTCGTCCCACGAAGCTTTTTTTCTCAGTTGGTCCCAAGTAATTCGTCCCGGGATTTTTTTTCTCAGTTCGTCCCATCAACACTTCTCTCTCAATTCGTCCCATATATTTTTTTCTCAATTCGTTCCAGATATCTATGCTTGCGCCTCAAAATAAATAAAGTCACCATCGAACAGTTAGACAATACAAGATGCGCGTACGTAGCAAAATGTGTCATGTTAGCCACTACTATCATAAATTTAAATCTCAATAAGTTAAATTGTTTTGTTTCCACGTCTACTGAAAAGGAGAAACCAGTTTTGAACCATAATGGGTATAATCAATGGTAGTGTTTGGATCGAACATGTTCAAGTACAATATCATTATGTACAGACAATGTGAGAATTTCACGAAATGAATCAGCACACACATGCAAACCAGATACCACCAAAGTCCCCATTGATATTGCTGTTGATAATATGAAAAAACGTACAAGAGAGAAAACACTACCTATTCCAAAATTATAATCACAAGAGGTCGTCAGAGCAAGAGTTGCCAGTCCTGGTCTTGCAACTAGTCGTATGTTTCCAACACTTCCGAATATTGATGCTTCACTTTATCACCGTAGAGCGCTTAATTACCCCAAATTTCGAACAACTACCGAAGAAATCGCTTTGAATTAGGTGTCAACTAATATGGGACGAACTGAGAGAAGTGTTGATGGGGCAAACTGAGAAAAAAGCTTCGTGGGACGAACTGAGAGGACACCGAAAATATTAACACCTAATTTAACGAGTTAAAAGGCTTTATTTTCTTCTTTTCTTTAATTGACCTTATAAGGAGAAGCTATTTTATTTTAAAGTACAAATCAAATAAACACTCACTCATCCTTCACAAAATAATTATAAAAATGAATTATAAATCTTTTTTATCATTGCTTGGCAGTACAACAGTCGACCAACATCATAATCCTTGAAATACTAAAGGAAACAAAGCAAAAAAGACAAGTATTACTGCCATATGGCTTTCATGAGTTATAGACGATCTTGTAGAGAAGAAGAAAAAGAAAGAATTTTTGTTTCTTCGTTCAAAAGAATGACAGTCTTTCAGTTCTATCGATTCTTTCATCTCTCTTTAGAAATTCGTTTTTATTTTAACTTGCCACATACTGGTTTTTCTACTCTCCCGTCATTTTCCAAGTTGGTTTAAATTTTTATTTCGATACCTTGCATCGCACCATCGAGTACAGACTCATTATCGGCACAATCAACGGTTATACAATCGAATTACAGTTGCGCTTGTATTCTGACAGAATAAAGCTTATATCAAACAAAACACAAAAAACATACCAAAAAAATGACTACTGATGACATCGAATCAATTGCTCAACTTCAATCGTTGTACAGAATATAGACATAGAACAGTGAATTTAGTTTTGCAGTTTACTGCAAAGCTAAGTTCATGTGTTCGAATCTGTGTTCGTACAAAAATTGATTTTGTACTTTTCGATAGTTTTAGTTTAGAGTACTATAATGGAATATTTTTCCAGTTGTATTCTGACAGAATAAAGCTTATATCAACTTATAGTTGATGGGAGAGAGTGAAAGAGCTAATACACTGGAATGTGGAAGCATAAAAGAAAAAAGAAAAGACGAAAAAACGATAAGAAAATTGAAAAAATTGAAAAATGAAATATATAAAACAGAAGTTGCTAGAGAAATAGAAATGACGCATAAGACTTGTTAGAAGAATCGAAAATTTTTTGTATGGTTTTTGTTTGTTAATTATTTATACCAATTAGAGGATGTTCAGTGTTAAGACGTTATATGAAAAGCTTAGTTGGCTTACAAAAAGCGGTTTATTTTTTCGATAAAAAGTGCTACAACTGCTGCACTTGTGTACTCATATCAATATCCGGCTCATTTAGCAATAGAATATTCGTTTTTAGCTTTCTAAGACTTAGTTGTTGAAAACGACTTTTGAAAAAAAAATCTTTAGTGTCAGCATCCACAGACTCAATTACCGCCATTAACTTACTCGTGTCGAAATAAATATCTGCTCAGCTCGATCGACTGAAATAACAAGATGTTTTTCAGTCACTATTCAACCAAATGCACCGTTGCTAGATTTTAGAAAATAAATTTTGTTCTGTGGTTTCCTGATGAGTGTTCACTGAGTTCTTAGCGGTTAAGTCAATCCCGTATATGGTTATTCAAAAGTTCTATCAGTCGTAAAAATTTCACCTGATTGATTGAAATATTCAGCGGAAGTAGGAGGCCGTTACTTTGTCCACGACTGTATCTCAGTCTGCAAAAATTAACAATAACGATTAGACTGCATATAGCGTCCAGCTTTGCAAAGAAATTTATCCGTTTCAGAAAGAATTAATTATAAAGGAAACTAATTAGTAATATCTTGAATGATACAAGAAAATCTCTTTAGTTGAAATGGCCTCCGCCCCCAGTTTTTCCATAGTTAAACAAAAGTGACTTAAGTACTTCTCGAACAATATAATGAAGATGACAATAAAAATATTCAAATATTCAATCCTTGATTATGAACAAGAAAGACAAACGCCAAAACAAATATAATTAATGCAGCATGATTCTACTATTTTTATGATGAGCTGAGAACTGATCAATAACTTGTTGAAAATTCACTTGAAAATCACGTTCAATCGATAAAATACAGAGATCATTTAATCGTTCTTCTGCCATAGTGTTTCTTAAACGAGTCTTGATTAACTTCATCTTTGAGAATACACGCTCACACGTCACAGATAATACCGAAATAGTAAGTGCTGCTTTAACCATTAACATCATATAGGGAAATACTTCTCGTAATGGCTTTATTTCATGGTATAATTCAGACACATTTGATAATTCTTTGTTTACTAACATTGGCCTAAGAACTTGTATTTCATTAAATAAATGATTTTTGTCACAATTAATATGTATTGCTAAAGGCAATAAAAGATCATAGTGTAAGACATTCTTATTTTGTGGAGATATTGATGATACACTTGATAATACAGCAATATTTGAAGCCGAAAAACGATCACGCATTTCTACTAAGATTGCATCAATTAATGGATAATAGATATTATCACGATAATCATCTTCATTTACATTTTTTTTCGATGTCCCATTGCACTTGTTACAAATGTATCTTTAAAACGAGTTGGTATTACTTTTGGTCGTTGGTGTTTTGATTTGCGATTCATATCAATATCATACTTTTATGCAAAATTCAAGATATTGAAGTACATCGTTTTAAATGATCCTCATTACAATCACGTTCAAGGTGTTCAATTACTGATGTAATCAACTGTTGACTTTCAGCATAATCAATCGATTCACCTAAATGATAAATGAACGTGCCACATTAAGTAAAGAAAAGGATGTTCTTTTGTACGAGTGCATTGATTTTTAACTAACTTTTAACTGATCCGATAAAATTTTGATTGATAAAAATAATTTATTTAATAGGAACATAATAACAATAAAAGCTGGCTCTTGTATAGCCGATAATATACCTCTTGCATCAACAGAACGATGATCACCTTCGTCAATAAGATCTTTAAGTGCAACAACAATTGATTCATAATTGATCATAATAGCATTAATTGAACTCCATCGTGAGTCCCATCGAATATCTGACCATCCCTTGAGTTTTGAAGAAGCATCTACAAAATAAAAAATAGTAATATGCGATAATTCGACGATTACGAGGTTAAGTCTGTGTGCATGGTAATGTCAAATAATATAAATACCGTTAGGCGTATGGTTTTGACGAACTGACATGAATACATCACCAGATGCAGTTTTTCACTCTGTTTACGAATATGACATTTTTAAAACATGAAAAAAAAATCTGGTTGAAAAAAATTGAAATTAAAATTTTTAATTTTAATTATTTGACTTAGACAGTTTTTTGAAAAAATTTAAAAATTACACCATTCGATAGAGAATTAAATTTTCTACAAAATGCTCATTTTGTTTGAAATTCAGACGCTCATAACAAATTATATACTTATAAAATAATATGTTTACGAAATGTTATTTATTGACACCTGCCAAGTGCATCGATGTCTTATGTTTAACGTACTTTTTAACTACCTGGCACGTGAAGTTCAGTTTTCCCAGATTTTAATGTCGAATGAATAAGCTACAGAATGACATATTGGATGTGAACTTAGAGCGAAGTAAGCGGTCTGCCCACTGTGACAGAAACTTGGCCAAAAACTCACCTAAGCAAGGCGTAAGTCAGTAAGGTTTTGTTGTCGCTGTAGCTCAGTAATTACTGATTTTTTGGGCTTTGTTTTTTCTCAGATAACTAGAAATCTAGGGTACAAGTTAAGCATAAAATAATTACGTTTCATTTCGCTGAAATTTCGACATTGGTATAAAACACTTCTATATTTTTTGTAAGTCAGGCACGCTCCGTATTTTTTGGATATCTCCACAACCACTCAATAAAATCCAAATATTTTCTGTCTATATATAGAGCTCGCCGATCTCTACAAAATGGCACAAGGATTATATTTTCAGCTATTTTTAGTTTTTAGATAATTGCATTTTAAGTAAAAAAATCGTAAATCAGCTACGCTTTGACAGGCCGTGCTGCACCAACGGCTTAATATATTAACTTACAACAAAAGTTTCAATGTTGTTCGATGGCAAAGAAAAGTTTAATTGTGTATATTTCATGCCGTGCATCACTGACACTGCCAAAGATCGGCGTGGCGCCAGAGCGATGTTGAACAATTGAGATCGATCAGACAATATCAGTTTCTTTTAACAGGACATGTAATCTTTCATCGTTTTTAGCTTACAGATTAGTTTAAATTTTATTTATTCAGACATGAGCTTAATCGTACTAATTAGAAAGCGCATGTTTGAATAAATAAAATTTAAACTAATTTATCTGCTTCGAATGATGAAAACTTTCATGAATGCACATTGGGCAACTAAGCGGACATTAGGCCAAAAAGTCGATTTTATCTATCTTGAAATACAAATAGTGCAAAATGTAGCTCTTGAAATTCTCTATCGAATGGTGTATAAACGTCTATTGTGAAACTGAAATG